CCTGGTAGAGGGGCTGTTGGAAGGAGGAAGGCCCACTTGGGACTGGACTGGGAGTCTCCAGAATTTCCTTTCTGAGACCCAGAGGAGGAGCAGGCCTGAGAAGAGTTGCGGGGCTGGGGAGGACCTTGAGATCTGGGTCAGCCCAGGGAGCTGGACTGGGCCCAGCCTGGGGGAAGGAGCTGGCCGGCATGGGGTGAAGGGCTGGCCACCCTCGGGACAGGGTCTTGCTTCCCTGCTCAATGCCACCAGTGGCCACTTGCCCAACCTCGTCCCACCTGGGGTGGGTGGGAGGGCAGCCCTCACTTGGGCTTGGCTTGGGAGCCTCACTTGGAAGCGGGAGAGCCTGCCTAGGGGAGAACAGGTGCCTGGGAACCTGAGTAGGGTGGGACTCTGACACCCGCCCCCATTTCTCCTGCAGACCCCCATCTCCTGCGCACAATAACCCCTGAGACCCTGTGCCACGTGGGAGTGCCCTCCCGCCTGGAGCACGTGCCCCCACCTCCAGCCCACCTGCCAGGCCCCCCTCCGCCCCCACCTCACTATCCTGTCCTGCAGCGGGACCTGTACATGAAGGCCGAACCCCCAATCCCCCCCTATGCCACCATGGGGCAAGGTCTGGTGCCCACCGACCTCCACCACACCCAGCAGTCCCAGATGCTACACCAACTGCTGCAGCAACATGGAGCTGAGTAAGAGCTGGGCAGCCGCTTCCGAGGGGGGATATGGGGTGGGGGATCTGGGCAGCAGCCGGCAGTCCAAAGATGCAGGCCGGGATGGGGATGGACCCGGGAAGGGCAGAGACTCTGCAGGGAAGATGGGGGTTGGCACATTTATACATCTGTTCCCAGCAATTCCCTGGGGGATTTACAGCCATGGCTTATTGCTCACAGCTCTCTTATTTGGTGGGCACAGAGAGGTAAATGGAGGTTGAGAGGGGGAAATGGCTGGCCCAGATCGTGGAAGTAGGAAGGGCAGAGCCAGGACTGAGCCCAGGCTGTACTCTTACCCAGGCACCAGTGACTTTCCAGCTGCTTCACGGGTCCTCAGGTTTCTGAGGCGACTCTGGACCTGGACCCAAGCTCGCCCCTCTGAGTCCAACCTATTGATGTATTGAGAATTCATGAAAGATTTAGTTCAAGGAAAGATTTTGCTGTCCAAACACTTTGTAAACTAGAATAAGCAGGGGTGCCATGCAAGCCCCCCCAAACTGCCCCTCACCCCTCAGGAAGCCCCCCTTCCCCAGCCCTTGTGGCCCGGGTCCTCTTTCTAACCGTGGAGGGGGCTCTCTGTAGAGTTCCTGCTGTAAACAGTGACACTGATGGTGACACCAGAAGGCAGGGACCAACTCAGTCATTCCACAAATGACGTTGAGCACTCTGTGTGCCCGGCTGGGTGTGACGGAGATGCAGACAAGTCAGGGGTGGCTCTTGCCCTCCACGAGTCCATGGTCAGGAGTGACAACAGAGAATGACAACACTGAGCAGTGGGGGGCACACAGTGGCCAGGGAGCACCGAGGAGGCGAAGGCCTAGGGCTTCCTGCAGAAGATATCCTCTGGGCTGGGCATAGCTCGCTCAAACAGGGTGGAGAGGGGAGGGGGTGGGTGCTGCCCATTGGGAGGGGCTCGGGGAGAGCCAGTCCCCATGGTGCACCCCTCTGTCCCCCAGGCTCCCTGCACACCCCTCCAAGAAGAGGAAGCACTCCGAATCACCCCCCAACACCCTCAATGCCCAGATGCTGAATGGAATGATCAAACAGGAGCCTGGGACCGTGACAGCCCTGCCCCCACACCCCGCTCGAGCCCCATCCCCACCCTGGCCTCCCCAGGGTCCGCTCTCACCAGGCCCCGGCTCGCTTCCCCTCAGCATCGCCCGGGTCCAGACACCACCTTGGCACCCACCAGGTGCACCGTCACCAGGTACATGGCTGGCTAACTCTTCAAGGTAGGGAGTGGGTCCTGGGGCACAGGGCCCACATGGGTATTCCCTCCCCCCAGGTCTCCTGCAGGACAACGACAGCCTCAGTGGCTCCTACCTGGACCCCAACTACCAGTCCATCAAGTGGCAGCCACATCAGCAGAACAAGTGGGCGACACTGTATGATGCCAACTACAAGGAGTTGTGAGTGATCTGGGACACCCCATCTTGGGACACCCCAGCCTGGGACCCCATTGAGGTCGTAGAGCAGGGCCTGGGAGCACACTGGGTACAAGATGGTCCCATTTACAGAAGAGCCAACAGGCTCAGTGTTCCTGACTCCTAGGCCAGCCCCAGGCCTCCCTAAGAAGGTGGTGTCTGCCAGGGACGGGCCAGTGGGAACCAAGGAGCAGTGGGCAGCTGGGTGTTTTCTGGCTCCTCCTCCTCCTCCACCTCCTCCTGCATTCCAGGAAGGTAGCTGGAAGTTGAGTGTAGGCAGGGCCTTCCAGCAGACCCCTCCCTGGAGGGGGAGGGAGGGAGAGGTGGGGGAAGGCTGGGTCAGAGGCTGCCCGGCATTCCTCACTCTCCCTTGACACCCACAGGGATTCAACTTCCCAGGTCCCAGGCCAAGAGCTCTGTGGGGGCCACTCCCTTTTCTTCCCCAGAAGGCCAGTGGCTGGGTGAGAGGGTGACTCCTGTTGGCTCACTTTGGACCTTGCCAGTTATGGGCAAGGTGGCTGGGATGTGGAACTTCATGAGAACAGGGGCCAAGACCAGCCTCCTGGAGTTGGGCACCCCAAGCTGTGTGAGATTCTTAGCCAGAAGCCCCCAGTGCTCGGGGGTCCATCTGCTGTGGTGGCTGAAGGGTCCCATGAAGCCCTGCCAGAGTGGGGGCAGGTCACTGGGGGTTCAGCCCTATGGCCTGGGGAGGAATCCCCTTACTCTCACTTCCATACTCCTTGGGTCAACTGTACCACCCCAGGCCACAAGGCCAGGAAGTTGGCAGCTGAGGCCCCCGGGGTGGTCCAGGCACTTTCTGGGTGTGTTGCTAGGTCAAGCAGGGTAGGTGGAGCCCCAGGGGAGAAAGAGGGTGACTCTGGCCTTCCTGTAGATGTTAGCCACATCCAAAGGCCTCTTCCCACAAGTTTGGAAGCATTCTCCCTGACCAGCATCCTCCAGGCAGGCACCAGGCATTCCTGTGACCATCAGGGCACTGCTTATGCCTGGGGACCTGGGTAAGGGTGGGCCAAGCCATAGGCCAACAACTGCCCTCTTTACTGCCACCTAGAGGTCCCCCAAAGGGGCCAGACTTGGGACACTATCCCCAGCAACAGATGGGCAAACTGAGGCTGAGTCCAGAAGTGCCCTTCTCCCTACCTATGCAGACAGGGGGAGTCAGAATGAGGGCATTTGGGGGCTTGAGCAAGCCGGTGGGCAGACACTGGGCCTGTGGCAGAGCCGGCGCCTGGTTCCACCGTTTCCATGGCAACCAGCTGTCAGGCATAGTGAGGCTCTGCAGATGCAATGCCTCTCACCCCACCTCTGTAAGGGAGGGGGCTTCAGGCAGCCTCTGGGATGGAGCCAAGTGTGGTGAGGGGGTGTCAGGTCCCATCCTCAGGAGTTCCCTCCCGCCTGGTGGGCCTCAAGGGTCTTGCCCCCCTTCCCCCATGGCCCTGGCATGTAGAGGAAGGGATAGTGGCTGAGGAGCTGGCAGACCGCACTGGAATCCTCTCGGGGACTCAGTTTCCATTTCTGAGAAGGGGGGGCAGCCCCATTGGTGGCTTGAGGATCCAGGGGTACAAGCTAGGAAATTGCTCTGGGACCCAGACGTGTGGGAGGGACTGACAATGGGGGCCCACCATGGGGAGCCTTGGGTGAGTGCCCTCACCTGCCCCCCAGACCGATGCTCACCTACCGCGTGGACGCCGACAAGGGCTTCAACTTTTCGGTGGGCGACGATGCCTTCGTGTGCCAGAAGAAGAACCACTTCCAGGTGACGGTGTACATTGGCATGCTGGGCGAGCCCAAGTACGTCAAGACACCCGAAGGCCTCAAGCCCCTCGACTGCTTCTACCTGAAGCTGCATGGAGTGAAGGCAGGTTTGGGGCTTGGCAAGGAGGGAAGGAGGGCCAGGGAGGCTCTAGGGCATGGGAAGACCCCAAGGTGAAGTGCATGTGTGCGACGAAACTCCCCACGGCCATGTCCAGCCCCACCCCCAGCCCTCCGGCTGTTCTCACTGTGCCTGCCCCTTAAACGTGGGCTGCTCAGCCCTTGCCCTCTTGCTCACTCTTGCTCCCAGGTTTCTTCTCTACCCTGTGACCCCCAAGTCTGCATCCCCAACTAAGACCCATCTCCTGGCCTCTCTAGCAGCTGCTTCAGCTCCAAATCCCAAATAAACTCCCCACAAACATGCCCATTCCCCTGGGATCCCCTCCCAGGGAATGGGCCCCAGGGTCCTGGTCACCACAGCCATAAATCTGGGGGTCTGCTTGCCCTCACCTCATCATGCACCTGGCCCTGCTATCTCCCCGGAACTTCCCTCCACCTGGCCCCTCCTCCCCTCCCCTCTGCCTCTCCCTGGCCTGGGCCATCCCCTCTTTTTGTCTGAATGTCCCCAGCAGTTTCCACACTCTGGCCCCCAACTCATGCTCCACCTGAGACACAGGAGGGCACGGCACTCCCCATCTGTCATGGTGCCCAGTGTCCTCCCAGCAAAGCCTTGGCCTATAAGCTGAGCCTACAAGGGGACCCAGCCCTTCACTTCAGCCCTGCTATGTGCTGGGCCCTGCCACGTGCTGGGCCCTGCCTTCCCTGGTGTGGCTCGCTTTGCCTGGGGTGCCCCATTGCACCCCTCCTCTCCTGGCTGGCTCCACTCTGGTGCCCTCCTCAGGGAAACCTGCCTTTAGGCCCACTGCCACTTAGAGGCTCCACAGCACAACCACAGTGGGGTTGATCTTGAGCCCGTGAGCTCCCTGGGGGCAAGGCTGGATCTGTCAGCTTAAGTGGCGCGCAGGCAAGGCTCAGCCTTGGAGGTGTTGGGGGGGCATGAGTGTGGGGAGGATCTGCGGAGTGGGCTTGGGCATGAGTGGGTGTGTGTGAGGAGGCTGGTTGAGGTGGGGGGAGCG